ATAAATAAATAAATAAATAAATAAATAAAGTGGAGAGCATTCTTGGGTAACAACACCTGAGATTATCCTCTGACATCCACACACAGACCAGACTAGTCAAAGAGTTACAATGAGGGGTTGGAGAGATAGCTCAGTGGTTAAGAGTATTGGCTGTTCTTGCAGAGGACCCAGGTTTGGTTCCCAGCACCCACATGGCAGCTAACAACCTTCTGTAACTCCAGTTCCAGGGGATTCGATGCCCTCTTCTGACCTCCGAGGGCATTGCATGACACAGGTGCAAGTTTTTTCTACATACATGCAGGCAAAACACTCATGCACATAAAATAAAAATAAATAAAAAATATTTAAAAGAGTACAATGGAATTTAAAGTGCAAGTATTGCTGAAAAGGCTATGGATTCAGTGTGATTTTGGCTTACCAGGTTTTTAGTTTTTTGAGATAGGGTTTTTTCCCTGTAGCCCCAGTTGGAACTTGCTTAGACTGGGCTGTCCTTGATCTCATCAGATCCACCTGCCTCTGCCTCCTGAGTATTGGGATTAAAGGTATGAGCTACCACACCCAGCTACCAGTTTGGGATTTTTGTTTTTATTTTTGTTGTTTTTCAGTTTTTGTTTTTTTAAGCTGGAGTGTTGTTATGCTTTAGTCCTTCCACCTGAGCCTCCAGAATAGCTGTGATTATAAGTGTACACCACTATACCCTACCTGAATTTGCTTTACATTTGATAAAATAAATTTTGTTACTATTTTCAGAGACATAAATTAATATGTCCCAATCTATACCGTATATTCCATCATCAGGCTTTCTCTTTTTATCCTAAAAAATGAATAAACTGCTTCTTCCCTAACCTCAACTGCATGCCTTACATTGGGATTGGCATAGGGTTTTGCTTGCTTGGTTAGTTTTTTGAACATGCAACCTTCTGATCTGGAGTCAGACACGCTACTGTCACGCCATGACGCTTGGTTAGTTTTTTGAGACAGTCTCTCTCTGGTAACCTAAGCTGGTCTCAAACTCATGATCCTCCTGCTTCAGCTTCCTGAGTGCTGGGATTGTAGTCTTTGGCCACCATGTCCAGTTTGGTGTGTTTCTTAAAGAGACTGTGGATTTTCCTGGGATTAAATGGTTTCCCCCAGCTTTTTCTCCTTGTTGGCTTCCTTAGAGAAAAAGTCATTCTTGGATGTAAGATTTCTGAAATTAAGGAGATTATCACTGCCAAATATAAGTCTAAGTTGGAAACTCCTGAATTCTAAGCACTATGATGGTTATATTTTGAGACAGGGTCTTCTTATAGCTCCAGCTGACCTGCAACTCCCTATGCAGACCAGGCTGGCCTTGATCTCACAGAGATTCACCTGCCTCTGCCTCCCGAGTGCAGGGATTAAAGGGGTGTGCCATCACGCCTGGCTTCCTGTGATGTTTTTCATTTTTTTAAATAAAATTTCTTTTAATTAATTAAATTTCTTTTCTCTCTCTCTCTCTCTCTCTCTCTCTCTCTCTCTCTTAAATCTTTTTTTGAGACAGGGTCTCCCTGTAACCCCAGCTTGCCTGGAACTTGCTATGCAGACCAGGCTGGTCTTGAACTCACAGAGATCCACCTGCCTCTGCCTCCCAAGTGCTGGGACTAAAGGAGTGTTCTGTTTTCCCACAGGATCAACCTCTCCCTGTGGTTAGCAATGGATCTGGTCCTTTCCAGAGTCCATTAAAGGGGTCCCTCCACAATTAAGGCATTTTGAGTTGGATTGGGTTGCAACTACAAGGGCTTGGGCAAGGGAGGAGGCCTGGTACGTGGCAGTCCCAATGTCATGGGTGGCCACTATCCATTTGTCATCATGTTCATTTTTTAGTCCTTGGCATGCTTGTCTGTGCTTAGGGGTCATCCCTTCCCAGATAAGGCTGTTTAAAAGCAATGCTTTGGCTGCAGGATTTGTTATTTTTCTATCTAAACTGGCTTGCACTCTTAGTATAAAGTCTGGGAGAGCCTCAGTTGGTTTTTGTTTTAAAAAAGTTAATGAAGAAGTTTCTCCAGGCCCGGTGGACAAGGGGGTTATGCGGTCCCAAGCCTGTAATGCACATAAGCGAATTTGGTCAAAGCAGCCAGTGGGAATTGCAGCCTGCTGGATCCCTGTGGAGAAGTTGCCCTGACCAAAAAGCTGATCATAGTTCCAATCTCCGAATCCAGGTGGTGGATCCTGCCCTTGTTGGGGCCTTAGCTGCTGATTATGAGTGTCATTTCTTTTAAACTGCATTAGACATTCATCTCTAAATAAAGCCTCCCATTGTACAAATAATGGACTGGGGAGGGTAGATCTACAGATGTCCCTCCAGTCCTGGGGGGTAAGCAGATTAGTATTAAATGTTTGTAGTATAGATTTTGTCCATGGAGCATGAATTCCATCCTCACGGACAGCCTGGCACAATTCTTTAAGTTCCGCTGCTGGGAGCGGGTACCAGGCCAGTGGGCGTTGCCTTGTTATTTGTAAGTTAACAGGAAACGCCTCTACTGGTGGGGTGTGGGGGTCCTGAGACCACTGAGGCTGGAAATTTTGAGGCTGGCAACTCCCATTATCTCTAAGGTTACATAGCTGCTCTGTGGCTGTAAGGCGTGGCGCCACAGGCGGTGGCAGCCGAGGTGAGGGGGTAGGGGAATTTATCTGAGGATTTTGGGGAGCTTTTGAAATCTGGGCATTAGTATCTGGGCTTGTTAAATCAGCAAGAGGAGGGTAAAGATTAATTTTGCTGCTGAGTAGGTTTTGTCTGACTTCTGTTGAATCTGCTACTGGGCAATTTTTAGGGTCTTTTTTACCATTTGAACCTTCCCCTTTATTATCTTCTGACACTTGTCCTAAGCATTGTTGGATGGCGGGAAAAAGGAAAGGGGAAAATTATGCCTTTCTTGGATTTCTTTTTTACAAGCCAGATGCGCAAGAAAGTTCCAGACCTCTGGATCAGATATGTCTGCTGATAGGATCCAGGGTGCGAATTGATACACCTCATTCCAAAATTTTAAGCTTTCTTTTGGGGAGATCTTAAGCCCTCTTGATTTAAGTAAGGCTCTAAGGGAACAAATTTGGAATTTTTTCTGACGTGATGTTGAATTTCCCATTATAAAAGGAAGATGTTTTTGCAGCAGTCTGACACTAGGGGGTGGAACGCCCTGACAGGTTACAAGCCTTTAAACTGCAGAAAAAAAAATGGCGGTTTTAA